GTGCTGTCGAACTCTGCCGGTGCGTGCGGGGCGGACCAGCTTACCCTTGAGCATGTCCGCGGTCGAGGCCAGTCTGCTGCATGCGGACTCTCACGCGTTGGCTTGCCCGCTCCTCTTTCAGGCCTAATGTTGCCGAGTCTCCCTGACCACTGCTGCGGATCTGGTTCTGTTTCCATGCATGGTCTTCAGTCCAGATTCCATATCCTCGAAGGTGCTCGCGATCGAGGTCCATGTGCTGATGGTGTCTCTTACATCCGCTTTCTTGCTCGTTCTGTGGACTATTGTTGTGGTGTGGCCAGATGTCTCGCACCTTTGTTGTCAGGTTACGTATTCTTCCTTGCAAGTTCGAATATCTGTCTGCCTGATCGGATTTCGTCAGGCCGCCGTGAGGAAAGCGGCTCCACGCCCGCTTACCGGTTTCTGCTGCGGCTGCTCACTGGACGTGGGGGTGAAGGCGAGCTCCTTCTTTTCTTGTGCTTTGCAATTTGAAGCTGTTCGCGTATCTATTTGAAGGGTTTCGCCCCCTGCGGCCAGCCCCTGCACTGATTGGTTGCATGGCTGGTTTGGTTGAGTTGGTTGGTTGGATGACGGATTGGTAGGCGGATTGGAGACTCGGCCAGGCTGGTTGTCTGGCTGGTTGGATGGGGCCCAGCAGGCTTTGAGGGATTTGCTTTCTGGGAGCGCCAAGCTGGTCTCCAGAAGCAGCCCCAGGGAATCATTTTCGTATGCGAAAGTGGCTCGCACTCCGTTCTGCAGAGTGTCAGCGCCAGGAGCGCAGATCCATAGTGCCATCCTTCTTTCATTTGTTTTTCTTGTGTGGATATCAAAGGAGTGGCCCACGGATTCTGCGGTCTGCTGTGTTCGTGACCTCCGCAGGTTGTCTTGGTCACATGCGTCTCAACTTGTACTGTGCGTGCACGCGCGCTTGTAGAACAGCTGTTGGCTCGAATACGTCGGTCACGGTAGCTCGTTCCGAGGCTGCTGGGGCGGCCAAGAGCAACCACACCACCCCACCTTCCTCTCTTACACTTCATAAGTTAGACAAACAGAGTAGGGTCTGCCCAAGTAGTAGTAGTAGTAGTAGTAGTAGTAGTAGTAGTAGTAGTAGTAGTAGTAGTAGTAGTGGTAGTGGTAGTGGTAGTGGTAGTGGTAGTGGTAGTGGTAGTGGTAGTGGTAGTGGTAGTGGTAGTGGTAGTGGTAGTGGTAGTGGTAGTGGTAGTGGTAGTGGTAGTGGTAGTGGTAGTGGTAGTGGTAGTGGTAGTGGTAGTAGGTAGTAGTAGTAGTAGTAGTAGTAGTAGTAGTAGTAGTAGTAGTAGTAGTAGTAGTAGTAGTAGTAGTAGTAGTAGTAGTAGTAGTAGTAGTAGTAGTAGTAGTAGTAGTAGTAGTAGTAGTAGTAGTAGTAGTAGTAGTAGTAGTAGTAGTAGTAGTAGTGGTAGCGGTAGTCGTAGTAGTCGTATTATTATTATTATTATTAGTAGTAGTAGTAGTAGTACTAGTAGTAGTAGTAGTAGTAGTAGTAGTAGTAGTAGTAGTAGTAGTAGTAGTAGTAGTAGTAGGGCCACCCGTCGTCTATGGCCGGCCTGTTTATGGCCGGTAGTTTGGTTGGGTTTCTATACAGGTGTACGAAAACCCAGTATAAACTACGCGTCCTGCACACTTGACTTACGGCCGGCACGCTGTGAGGAGTCCCAAGGATTTTTCGAGGAATCTTCAGGAATTCTCAAGGGAAGTTTAGGATTTCCCCAGGATTCCTAAGGAATTCTCCAGGAATCCTAAGGAATTCCGGAGGAACCCGGAGGTATTCACTAGGAATCCTTAGGAATCCCTGAGGAGTCCTGAGCGAATCTCCAGGAATCCGGAGGAAATCTCTTGGAATCCCAACGAATTCTTCAGGAATCCCAAGGAAGCCTGCAGGGGACCTAAGGATTTTTCCAGGAAGCTTCCAGGGATCCGAAGGAATCCCAGGGAATCCGGAAGGAATCTTTAGGACAATTTCAGGAATCCTTAGGAATTCTTCCGGAGTCCCAAGGAAGCCTCCAGGAAACCTAACGAATTTTAGGAATCTTAAGGAAGTCTCCAGGAATCCCAAGGAATTCTTTTTAGGAGTCCTAAGGAATGCCAAAGGAATCCTTAGGAATTCTTCCGGAATCCCAAGGAATTCAACAGGAATCTTAAGGAATCTCGGAGGAATCCGAAGGAATCTCGGAGAAATTCCAAGGAATCCCGGAGAAAAACCCGAAGGAATTCACCAGGAATTCTTAGGAAGCCTCAAGGAATCTGAAGGCATCCCCGACGAATCCTAAAGAGTCCTTGAGATTCCTAAGGAATTCTCCGGGAATCCGAACTAATTCGTAAGGATTCCTTAGGAATTCTCCAAGAATCCTAAGGAAGTCTCCAGGAATCCTAAGGAAGTCTCCAGGAATCCTAAGGAAGTCTCCAGGAATCTAAGGAAGTCCAGGAATCCTAAAGTATCTGAGAAAACTAATGAAAACCAATGGTTTCCAATAGAAACCTATTAAAAACGATTGGTTTCCAATGCGAAAATAATTTAAACAATTTGTTTCCAATGGGCAACTACGTAAATTCCAATAGAAAATTAATAAAATCAATTTGTTCCCAATCGAAAACTAATCCAAACCATTGGTTTCCAATGGGCAACGAATTGAAACCATTGGTGTCCAATAGAAAACTAATACAAACCATTGGTTTCCAACAGAAAACTAATAAAAACCATTGGTTGCCAATAAAAAACAAATAAAGAATTATTGTTTTCCAATAGAAAACTGATCAAAACAATTTGCTTCCAATAGAAAACTAATAAAAACCATTGGTTCCCAATAGAGAACTAATTACAACCATTGGTTTCCAGTGGGGAACTAATTAAAACCATTGGTTCCCAAAAGAAAACTGATAAGAACCATTGGTTCTCATAGGAACAATTGGTTTCCAATACAGAACTAATGAAAACCATTGGTTTCGAATAGAAAACTAATTTTAATCATGGCTTCCAAATAGAAAAGTAATTAAAGCCATTGGTTTCCAATAGAAACTGATTGAAACAAGTGGTTTCCAATCGGGAACTAATAAGAACCATTGGTTCCCAATCGAAAACTAATTAAAACCATGGGTCCCAATAGAAAACTAATTAAAACCATTGGTCCCAAATAGAAAACTAATTTGAACCATCGGTGTTCAATAGAAGACGAAGCCAAACCATTGGTTTTCAATAGAAAACTAGTTAAAACAATTGGTTCCCAATAGAAAACAAAGAAACCCAAACCCAAACCCAAACCCAAACCAAAACCCAAACCCAAACTTCACCGGCCATAAGTCAGGTGTGACCCTAGTAGTAGTAGTAGTAGTAGTAGTAGTAGTAGTAGTAGTAGTAGTCGTAGTAGTAGTAGTAGTAGTAGTAAGCGTAGCACCAGTAGTAGTACTCGTAGTCGTAGTAATAGTAGTAGTAGTAGTAGTAGTAGTAGTAGTAGCAGTGGTAGTAGTAGTAGTAGTAGTAGTAGTAGTAGTAGTAGTAGAATTAGTAGCAGCAGTAGTCGAAGTGGTGGTCGTATCAGTAGTAATAGTAGTCGTAGTAGTAGTAGTAGTAGTAGTAGTAGTAGTAGTAGTAGCAGT